TTGTTGTTGTTGTTGTTGTTGTTGTTGTTGTAGTTGTTGTTGTCGCTGTTGTTGTGTGTTAAAAACTAGTTGTTGTAGTTGTAGTTGTTGTAGTTGTAGTTGTAGTTGTAGTTGCATTTGTTGTAGTTGTAGTAGCTGTAGTTGTCGTTACCTCTTTCTCATTTATTTCTTTTCTTTTCTTTCTTTCATTGTTTTGTTTTAATCTTTTTTTGTTTTTTTTTTTTTGTTTTTGTTTTGTCTTTGTTTTGTTTCGTTTTATTTGATTTCTTATCGTATCTTTTTTCTATGTGTTTCTAAAACTTTGTTCAATTCGCAATGGTAAACCTTTTATAAATCGAATACGTTGGACCAACGAGCCGATACATTTGTTTTGCTTTAACGTAATCACCTAGCTGGTGGATGATCGGAACTTTCACTGTCTCGAGTGCCTCCTCCTCCTTTTTCGCCTTTATGACTCCTTCGGCTGCTATTTCTTTTCTTTGGTTGCTTACTGTGACAGTTCGAGCAGTACCACTTCCCTCTGGGCATCTGAGCAAAAGCATCGACGGAACGAGGATTAAAAGATCGTTGGGATTAATTAAGGAATCGGTCGCCGCGCATTGGCTAACGGCATTAAGCGACTTGAGCAATTACCTTTGGCATGACGGGATTATGGCAGTCGGTGTGATAAGCTCTGGGACAAAGCTCGCATAGGACCAAATTTTTACCAACTCGCTTGCCGCAGACTAAACAATTTCTCTCTCCTGTTGCCTTATTCATACACTCGTGGCAGTACCTAAAAGCAATTTAGCACATTTCATACGACTGCCGAGGCATTGTGTGTACGGGGTCACTACTCCCTCCGCTCAACTACTAACCAATCTCCATCGGGAATGTTTTCCATTTTTGGACGGAAACAATAAGTATGATAGCCGCGATCACAGCCGTCGCAAAGCAGCAACTTATCCTCGTTGTCGCCGCTGTGACAAAATTGGCAGTTCTGCAACAAAAGGCACTCTATTGTTGAAGCATGAAAATAAACGAGCTCGATACGATGTTTGCTAAATGTAGCTTCTAATAAGAGAGAATATATGCTATGACACATGCCTCTTCC